AAGAAGGAAGGAAGGAGGAGAAAGATAAATAGAAGGAAGGAAGGAAGGAAGGAAGGAAGGAAGAAGGGTAAATGGAAGAAGGAAGGAAGAAGGAGAAAGATAAATGGAAGGGGGAAGGAAGGAAGGAAGAAGGAAGGAAGGGAAGAAGGAAGGGAAGAAGGAATGAGAAGGATAGATGGAAGGAGGAAGAAAAGAAGGAAGGGAAGGATAAATGGAAGGGGGAACGAACGAAGGAAGAAGGAAGGAGGGAAGAGAAAGAAGGAAGGAGAAGGAATGAAGGATAAATGGAAGCGGGGAAGGAAGGAAGGAGGGAAGGGAAGGAAAGGAAAGGAAAAATTATAAAGAAGCCATTTCTGATACTTTTTAAACAGCCGGTATGTGTGCATTCATTTTTTTTCACCCACTCGTTTCCTTCTTACCGTAGTTACCCTTTTTAAGGGGACCCCCTAAATCCAATTATTTTCCATCATCCTTAAAAGCCTAGCTCTGCATCCTAGTTGGTGGGGGGGAATAGGAGGTGGGAATCCCAGCAGCCCCCACCCACCCAGCATTGCAAGGGGGGGCTCCTGCTTTCCAAGCCCCCCTCCCCTCCCCCCACACTTTCTCCCCCCCCTTCCCCACTTGCCCATCAGCGGCCTCTGTTTCTGCAGTTGGACCTGCCAAGCTTCGGCCAGGTGGGTCAGCAGGAGCTTGGTCAGGTAGCGGTGGGCCCGGAAGTTCCAGTGGATGCCGTCGGGGCTGTGGAAGTCCTGCAGGAACCGGAAGTAGTAGTGGAGGTCCAGGACGTCGAACCAGAACCCTCGGGCCAGGTTGGTGCTGTAGAAGTTGGCTTCTATCATATCCTGGGCTGACACCTTGCAGGGTTGCTGCGAGAGACACACACCCCCCCCAAAAAAACGCCCACCATCCTCAAGTCAGTTCAGGTGGCCTAGAGGTGGAGCTCTCGCCTCACAATCAAGGAGGCTGCGAGTTCAATCCTAGGTAGAGGCTAATATTTGGAATTAAGACACTCCTGCTCCAGCAGGGGGTTGGACTAGATGACCTCCAAGGTCCCTTCCAACTCTGTTATTCTATGTCAAGCAATGTTCACATACCAAAATCGTATCACGACGAGCAGTCAAATAATAAAATTCATAACAATATAAATGTGAATAACCAAAATTCAACCATGAGTAATTAGATCGTGAAAGGGGGCAGGGGGTTGGACTAGATGACCTCCAAGGTCCCTTCCAACTCTATTATTCTAAGTTAAGCAATGTTAACATACCAAAATCATATCACGACGAGCAGTCAAATATTAAAATTCATAAAAATATAAATGTGAATAACCAAAATTCAACCATGAGTAATTAGATAATGAAAGAATATTATATATATATTTATATATATATTTAATGTAAGGTAATCTTGGGTAAAGAGTAGGAACCTCCAAACGGATCACCTTGTGATGCGGTTCCATGCAGAAAATCTAGCCAAGCCTTGCAGGAGTTCGCAATCCTAAATCCTATACCTGCAATCAATTTGTTTTCTTTTTTGTGTTGCACAGATCACCTTCAAGAAGTGAGGGCAGCCGAATGTCAACACATAAAATATTTCTGTGGTCTTTTTAGAGTTGCCAACAGAAAGGGAGGGGGGAAAGGGGTTTGCTTGGACATCAAAAGCACATTCCATCAATAGTTTTTCAAAGATAGTAACTAGGTGACTGAAGTTTCTGCTGCACAAAATTCTAGCTGGAGAGCATGATTGATGACTCTTGGCTATGGATGTGTCCCATTGGAGAATATGAATTCTCCACCAGGGGCTGGAGGGAAAATCAGGGTCAAGCGTGACAATGAATTACGTGTCTCAGAGTCAGTTACACCCAGGCAGTGCCGGACATGTTAATTCCCAATAAATCCTTTGGAAGTTTTGGAAGTTTGGCACGAGACTCATGATTTCATTGCGGTAACTGCTGGAATCCTGACACAGGTGTATTAATCGTGGAATTAAATGGATTGGATGAGTGGGAGGAATATGAATAGATCTACTACATATGTTTAAACAATATTGTAATTGGTATAAGAATTGTATATTGAAACACTGAACAATGTAGGAATGAAGGATGAAACTTGAATATAAACAGATGTGAACAGTTAAATAAGGGAAATAGGAATAACTAGCTGGATTCCCGTGCTTCGCTACGAAACTATGTGGTCGGGCTTAGTTTTTGGGGAGGAAAATAAGGGGGGAGAAATTCTGCCTCTGCCTACCAGCATCCATCGGTCTTCATCTGGCTAGCGTCCTGTCAGTGTGTGAGAGAGTGGAGGGCTGTTTGGAAACTGAAACAGTATTTGTGCGTGAGCAAGAAGGAGACAGCAAGGAGCCTGGGCGTGGCTGAGCTCAACTATTCTGTATTAAAGCTGCTTGGTGCTGCTGTGAAACTGGAACTGGAACTCTTCTCCTCAGTGTTTGCATTTGGAAGAGATTTCTTTTCAAGTGGGGAGGGAGAGTAGAACTCCTTAGCATAAGAGCGTAATAATAATAATAATAATAATAATAATAATAATAATAATAATAATAATAATAATAATAATAATATAGGAAATACTAATGCTCTGATGGTCATTTCGGAAAATCCTTTCTTAGTGAGCCCCTAGAAGCCAAGAGGAATATACGGGCCAAATTTCAAGTTTGTAGGCTTTACAATTCTGGAGATTTTGTGACGATGCTTGATGTTTTGGAAGTTTGGCGCATGACTCATGATTTAAATCGGGGTAATTGTCGGAATCCTGACACATCGATCTTCTCACCTCGATGACGTATCCGCGGGCATCTTTGGTGATGGCCATGGCCGTGTTCCAAATGATGAGAGTGCTTGAAGGAAGGACCTCGTCCAACGCTTGGAAGAGCTTCTCCACGTTCTGGCGGTATTCTCGGATCGCTTTGGGGACCGGCGGCTCCGTGGAAAAAGCATCGTGGTATCTACGCGGAATGGGGAAGTGAGTGGGCTTCACAACAGGTCATTGAGGGACCGTTCCAAGTTAGGACGGCATGTTAAAAAGGGACCTGCGACTATTTTTCACACTTAACGACCATTCCCGGGATCAAAATTTAATGCAATCGGCCTGTCCTTATGACGGTTTGCTGCGTCCCGGGGTTCATATCAATCCCCTTTGGTGACCTTCCAAGTCCACGGGGAAGCAAGATTCGCTTAACGACGGCATGACTCATTTAACAGCGGCCACGATTCACTCAGCGAACAAGACGAGACAGGCCGTCAAATGGAACAAAGCGCACATTTCTCGCTTAGCGTTGTCGTAAAATGCCGGGCTCCGTTGCGGTCGTACGTTGAGCACCGTGGGGTTGGGCTCAACTGGTCGGATGTTCAGATGTTTCATTATCCAAATAGGTCACATCGTCAGGGTTATCCCACCTCCCTGAAACACTGATGACGAGACCTAGTTGGGTCATGAAACGTCTGCAAGAAAACAATGGAACTCAGAACCAAGGACCCCACAGTTCTCCCCCCCCTCCTCCTCTTCCTCCTCCACGTCCTCCTCCTCCTCCTGTCTGCAAACCCCCTTCCATTCTAGCCTTGATGATGTTACCTAGTTGTGTTATGTAACGTCTGCAGAAAACAACCAAGTTCAGAGACCACCGAGGACCCCGACAGTCCTCCTCCTCCTTTTTTTCTTCCATCCTTCTCCTCCTCCTGCTTCTCCTTTTATCTTCCTCCCATCTTCTTCCTCCTCCTCCAACTCCACTGCCTTCTAGCACTGATGATATTACCTAGTTGGGTCATGAAACGTCTGCAGAAAACAAC